TAAAGGGAATGAATGTGCACTCCCTTTTCCTTTCCCCTTCTTGCTGGCCAGGATGCTGACCTGATGGCACTGGCTGGAGCAGCCACCGTGGAACCCAGAGAGGGAAGTCACTTGTTGAGAATGGCAAGATGCTGTGCCAGCTCTGGACTGCCTGCCTTTGAACTACTAAGTAAGAGAAAATCAAAGTCCTATTTTGTTGAAGTCATCTATTTTGGGGTCTTTGACTACCTGGACTGTATCCCAAGTAATACAGCTTCACGCCACTACCTTCACCCAGAAGCCTGTACTTCCTCTTGATTTGAATGTATTTATGTTTTCTTATCTCAAATATTATGTTTTATGTCCACATGTTTTAAAAATTAAACTGTTAGCTAGTGGTTCAACTAATTTTTTCTCCAAAAATCAGCTAATGGATTTACTTTAATGTTCTTAATGTTTTACAATTATTTTTGCTACCTTTACATTTAAAAGAACTTTAGCCATTTATAGAATTTGGAGCTCACATCCCTTTCTCCTCAACATTCTTTCTACATTGTTCCATTAGAAGTCTGAGGCCAGTCTCATTTTATTCTCCTTGGTAGATTGTCTGCTTCTTCTAGCAGGATGTTTATGGTAGGAAGCTTTTTTTAATTTCTAAGATTTAGGAAGTTCATAAGAGCTATTCCAGTCTCAATGGTTTCTTTACTCAGTGTCCCTGGAATATAGTAAATCCTGTTCTTTTGCCTAATTGGGTCTTTTTTGTGTCAGAAGTGGCTGTTTTCTTTTATGTTTTTGAGTACTTTTCTTCAATTCTATTTGTTTCTTCTTCATCAGGGACTCTTAGCATCCTGGATCGACATACATGTCATACCTGTCTGTCATTCCTCTCCAGTCACTTCATCTCTTTACCCATCTTTATTGTGTTCTGTGCGATATTCTCAAGCCTCTCATTCATATCATTGCCTCAGTTTTCTGTCATGTCAACTCCACTTCTTGTGGCTTCTAATATGACTTCCAGATATTTAGTGTGTTTTTCTTCTGTTTCTTTCTTTACCTCTTCCAGTCCCGCTTTCATCTTATTTTGGTATCTCTATTTTTTGTTTGTTTCATAGGGTCCACACGATATTTAATTTCCTTGAGAGAGAAAATTCTTGTCAAATATCTTCTTCTATTTCCCAGAATTATTTCTCTTCTGATACGTAGTATAATGTGTATTTTCCTCCTGACAATCTTTGGAAGAGGAGTGTAGTATCTTGCATAGATCTCATGGTAGATCTTTACTAAGAAACAGTGGCTACTTTAATTTTTTTTAAATGTTTACCTAGAATCCCCAAACCCCCTAGATATAACTTCTATTTCACGGGAAATTAGTGGCTAGAGAACCAAGCTAAACATTACCACGAGGAAGCAACCAAACGAATATAGTAGCTGGGACATTCCATGGGACAACTCACTCAATTGCTTGCACTATGTGTCCTAAAAAAAGGGACTATACTAGATTAAAATAAACTAAGGGAAAACATGTGGTCTTGGATTGGATACTGATTTGGATAAGCCAGCTGTAACAATAATTTTAGTTAATTGAGAAATTGTAATATGGCCTGGAAATTAGAAGAGATAAGATGAAAATACACTGAAAGATTAAGGTAGAAAGTGTTGACTAAATTAAACAGGTTATAAAAAGGTTATAAAACAATTTTTAGAGTCTGATCTCATTTTGGTTTACACACACACACACACACACACACACACACAGTTGTCACAGTGGTGTTCTCTAGGAGATAGAAATATACTGGGTTTTTTAAAACCTTGTCTGTATTTTCTAATGTTCTGCAAACCATATGTCTTGCTTATGTAATAGTAAATTATTTTAAATAGTGACATAGATTTAAATGGGACATACCATAAAGATAAATAAAGCTTAAGCCTCAGCGCCCCTTATTTACATGGGCATTAGGAGGAGGACCTCTAATGATTCTGTATCATACTTTGTGGGCTTTTTTATTTTACTTTTTAAGTTGTAGCATCTTTTTATTCTGGTGAAATATATATAGCATAAAATGTACCATCTTAACCATTTTTAAGTGTACAGTTCAGGACATTCACACTGTTGTGCAGCTGTCACCACCATCCATCTCCAGAACGTTTCCACCTTCCTAAACTGACACTCTGTACCCATTAAATAATAACTCCCTATTCCCCCCTCCACCCAGTCTTTTTACTTTGAAGGCTCTTCAAAATCTAGCTTTAAGCTTCATGAAATCTTATCCAGCCTCAACTGACAAGCAGATGTCCTGGTAACTCCTAAGCAAGCTCTGAAATAACACCTCGCACTGCCCAAGTAGCTTTAGCTTCAAACCAAAGGGCAGTCAATATAGTTGTGGAGGTTGTCACCAAAGTTCTCATCACCAAATGTGGAAAAGCAGTGATCGTGGCAGTGCCAAGACAAAAGCAATGTTTTCTCAAATTATTGGACTATACATTTATATTACTTTCCCCAGAAGCTACAAGTTTGTCATTCTTAAGGTCCTAATTTCCTGTAAATTAACCCTATTTTCTTAATTGCTTAGTATCATCACTTGCTTAAAATTAGCCCTCAGGTGTACATAGGAGTTTTATATAGTTGTATCAGCTAGTTTTAAGTCTGGCTCAATATGACAGAAAATCCAAAAATTTTTTTAAATTTATTTTTTGCTGGCTGGTACAGGTATCGAACCCTGGACCTTGATGTTACCAGTACCACACTCTAACCAACTGAGCTAACAGGCCAGCAGAAAATTCAAATTTATTTCTCTCATACATAAAAGAAGTTTGGAAGTACACAGTTCAGGACCAGTATAGTAGTTTTATGAGCATTAAGGAACCAGAGCCCTTTTATCTCACTGTGCTACCATACTTAGCATGCCACTTCATGGCCCAATAGAGCTTCTCATGCTCCAGTCATTGGGTCTTATTCAGTCAGAGGAAAGAAGAAGGAGTAAACAAAAAGCATGCCCTCTTTCTACAATGATTTCTCACAGAAATTATACCTGACACTTGAGTGTACATCTCTTCTGCCAGAGCATATTCACATGGCCCTATATAGCTGCAAGGGAGGCCAGGAAATGTAATCTTTATTCCAGAAGACCTTGTGATCAACTAAAATTCAGCTATTCTCTTAGTAAAGAAATGGACAGAAGGGATATTGGGACAGACAGCTAAGCATCTGTCACAGGGTTTTTAAAAAGACTCAGTGTGCTAGATTTTGAGGTTTGGTGGGTGCAGGGAGGAAGGGGTAGACAACTTAAAGCATCATTTATACAATTGTTTAGCATCTTGTTCAGAGCTAAAAGCTCACGTCTTCACAAGCATCTTGCTAGACTGGGTACTAAAACCTTCTTCCACTAAGTGTTGATGAACACAAAGAAGTGGCTTAACAGACCTGTGTGGAAGAAAGTCATCTTCCCAATCAACATTTGGATGTCTCAAAGGCCAAGTACATCCAGACCATATATCTAAACCAATAACCTTTACTGTTGTGGTTAAGCTTTAACTGTGAAAAGCAATAAATCAGTTAATTAATTACCATCACTTCTGCATTGTGTGTCCGGTTTCCAGGCTGTTTGCAGGGCAGGATAAACCACAGGAAGTGGCCTCTGACCCCATCCTTAGAGAATGTTACCATGGAAGACATTTTTCCCACATGATAAACAAAAGAAAATGAGGTGCGTTAAGTTCTGAGGTTGCTTTACGAACCAGGGAGCTGTCCCAGGTGCTTGAGCAGGGGTGTCCTCTGACTGACCAGGTGAGAGGGCTGATGGGTTCAGGTGAGCAAAGCCTCGTGCCCCATTAGCCCTCTCCCTGACTTTATAACCAAATACAGAAATAAACCTCCATGCTTGTACTTGGTGTATAATGGTTGTCAAACTGTTTTTCTAAGTTTATCACATGTGATGTTGGTGATTAATCCATCATTTAATAAATTCTGAAATTTTATCCAGATTAAAATATAATTTTGGGAGCCGCCCAGTGGCACACTGGAGAGTGCGCCGCTTGGGAGCGTGGCGGCGCTCCCGCCGAGGGTTCGTATCCCATGTGGAGACCGGTTCCCGCTCACTGGCTGAGCACAGTGCGGGCGCAACACCGAGGGTTGCGATCCCATTACTGGTCAGTAAAAAAGACAAAAAGGAAAAAAAAAAATATATATATATATATATATATATATAATTTTTCCCTGAAGTGGCCTTTAATAGTAGTCAGTCTGTGCTTGGTTCTTTGCCCCTGCTCTAGCTGCCCCAGGATTTTCTCTGGCTCAGGGGAGAGGGACTTGTTGCTCTTAAGGGGGGGAACTGCTCATTGATGCAGCAGAGCTGTTCATCAGGGTTCTATTCCTCCCAGCTGGCACCCTGACAAAGCCAGCCTCTGGGTAAGGAACTAATTACTTCTCTTGCTCCTTCAGTTTGGCCTCCTAAGGAAAATAAATCTTGCAGAAGTAACCAGCCAGCTGTAGCAGAGCCCAGAGCAGTCACCAACAGCCCTGTATCTCCTTCCATAACCAGAAAAGGCGACTTCAGATAAACCAGTGTGTAGGGGCCCCATATCGTGCAAAGCTCAGGAAAGATGGTTTGAATAGACAAGCAGCGCTTAACATTGTTTGGGTTAGGTTGCTCTAAGAGTATGGGAGGGCTGAAAGGCAAGGAGGGCATTTTCCCCATAGCAGGAGGAACTTCCTGACAGCACTTCTTCCTGCTTTCTGCCCTGATCACTACTTTTTCTGTAAGTTTTGGAAGAGCTATGTCCTGAGGTCCTGAGAAAGGCTGGGGAATGTCAGGGCACAACTGTCATAAAAGCACTGAGAGGAAAAGGGAGGCTCCCCTGCATTTCCCTTTCCTGCAGGCCTGTCCTGGGTTTTCATGATGTCATCCATTCATCATTGTGAGCTGATTGGTGGTCCCAGGGCTTGGCCAGCTGCCCAAGGCCAGGAGGGAAGAAAGAGATCCTAGGAAGACACATGTGCAGCAGGCCCCTGAGCATGTGCAGAAATGTTATCATCTGTTCCACATAGAAAGACTTGGTGGAAATCGAAGAAGACAGTAAAAGACACAAGATCTTATCCAACCTTCCCTTCCCTGAATGCCTGGGAAGAATTCAGGGGCCTCTTGCCTGTGGATGGGGAATTGAACCCTGGAGTGGGCTTGGGTGTGGAGGAGGGATTGCTCTGCCAAGTGGTGCATTCTCCAGAATTCAACCTGTTTCCTGACTCAGTGGTGTTTGAAAGCAACTTTGTCCAGGTACTCTTGGGTGGCTCAGAATAGCACTCCTGGGTTCTTCTAAATCTGTTCCCAAGATGTGACCAGGAGAACTAGTTCTCCTGGGACTGCAGAGGAGTGAGAACTGAGGCAAGGAGAATCTCGTGGCCTGGAATGCAAGGCCACCCACATGACCTGGGCTTTGCAGAGCCACAGACAGGGCTTCTCCTGCAGACAGTTGTCGCCCAGGCAAAGAGGTCAGATGTTCTCTGCTCTGAGTGGAGGATTTTGTGTTTTAATCCCCCAGTTTACTTCATCCTCTCGCTGTCACCTGAAGCAGATGAACAGAAAGGCAGTGAAGCAAGACGCCCATTGAGGGTTAGGAATAGACATGCCGATTGGTGAAAGAACAGGTGCCAGAGACCCAGGGAGACCTGGGCTCACATTCCAGTCCTCTGTTTTTTCATTGGGAGGTGTCATTGTGCAAGTAATCTGAGCACTCTGAATCCATTTCCTCTATTGTAAAAGGGTTGGATTGACCTGAAGCTTACACACCAACACAGCAAGCAAAGTACCTAGGCTAACAGGCCCTCAGTGAATTTTCATTTCCTTGCCTGGGCTTTTCTGAGGCCAAATGGAACCTAGAACAAATAGAACTTTGGAGTTGGAAGGGACTTGCTCCTTCAGTGAAGGTGCAGGAGATAATAGGATCCCTCGGAGAAGGGCCCAGAAGAGAAGTTTTTCAAAGAAAAGCCGGAAACAGTCCAGAGAGGATTCACAGAAATATGATAGATGCCAGGGAACTCCTGGGTTGTTCTTGCAGGCAATTGTTAGTAGTAGGTTGTTTAAATACTACTACAGTTGTTTAACCAATATAGGTTAAAGCAGTGGTTCTCAACAAGCAATGATTTTGCCCCCCACTGTTGGAGGACATTTGGCAATGTCAGGAGACATTTTTGGTTGTCACAGCTTGGGGTGGGGGAGGGGTGAGTTGCTACTCGCATCTAGTGGGTAGAAGCCAAAGATGCTGCTAAACATCCTTCAGTGCACAGAACAACCCATCCTCCCCCCAAACCCACCAACAAAGTATTATCCCACCCAAAATGTTAATAGTGCCAGTAGATCTCTATTGAGACATCCTGGGCTAAAACATACTGCTGCTTTTGCCAAATGCTCAGGCTGTGCCTGGGGGCTGCATTGCAGGTCAAAAGGGCCAGGAACTGGATAGACATCTACAAAGCCTCCAACACCATGGCCCTTGGAGTGACCTCCTCCGTGCCCTGCCTGCCCCTTCCCAACATCCTCCTCATGGCCAGCGTCAAATGGCATCAGGGGCAGAGCCAGACATGGAACAGACCATCTACAGCCCCAAACATCATCCTGAAGAGGTAAGCAACATAGATGGCAACAAAGGACGAGGGGTGAGGGGTGGCCCCAACATGGAGGCTGCTTGGTGACTAAACTCAAGGTGGGGAGAAAGCAGAAAAGTTATCAGCAGTGACTTTAATTTTTTTAGATAACAGTAACCCAAGACAGGTGTACACTGAAAGGACAGAGGCCAAGTGGGGCAAAGGGAAGCATCACATGGATAGGAGTGAGGGGACGGTCCACAGGCCCACTTTCTTTCTTTTTTCTAGGTCATATTTTTATTTTTTTATTGAATCATAATTGATTATACATATGTTGGGGATTCAATGTTGACATATGTTGATCAAATCAATATTACTAGTATGTATATTGTTACAAATTGTACTTATTCTTTATGCCCCTTGTCCAATCTCTCCCTGTCTCCCTCCCTCTCCCCTCTCCCACCACTGATAACCCTAGATTTCTTTCCTCCCTCTGAAAGAGTAATGGTTACTGTGGATTTGTTGCCTAGATGATCTGTCCAATGCTGACAGGTGTGTTCAGGCCCCCAATATTATCATACAGCAGATGCTTCTACTGTCATTCTGGGGTGGGCTTTGTGGAGAGAGACATCGTATTCTTTTCGTTGGTCTCTGCTGGTGACTCTCCTTGTGTCAATGCACTCCAGTGGCTAGAGGGCCATCTGCATGGTGGTTGTGATGTCTAGCCATTTTTGCGGCAGCTGTGGTTAGTGTGGTGGCTGCGGTTTGCCACCCACATGGAGGCGATGTTTTTGGCATGCTCCTTGGCACTGGTGGTGTGCGTGGTTGTGGGCAGGGGTTCTGGTCCCCGGCTCGATGCCCCAGGACCCTGGGCGGGTCCCCAAGGTGCTGGCAGTGTGCCTGGGTGTGGGCAGAGGGGTCTAGTCCCTGGATCCATGCCCTGGGACCCTGGGTGGGTCCCCGAGGCACTGGTGGACAGAGGCCAAGTGGGACAAAGGGAGGTGTCACGTGGATAGATAGGAGTGAGGGGACAGTCCACATGCCCACTTTCTTGCTGCACTCACCCCCCTGAATTCACAGGAAATCTCTCAGCCTTGACCAACGGGCAAGGAAGCAATGAGGTCTGGCTGATGGAGCACGGTTTGGGAGAGGCAGGATCTTTTTTTTTTTTTTTTTTTTTTTTAAAGTTTTAAAATACCAACTGTTTATTAGGGAACATTTCAAATACATGCTC